CTTGAATTCAAACATATTATGAATCCAGATTGTGTCTTTCTTGAACTGTTCTACCTGATGTACACTGCTTGTTCTCACGCAGGCGCTCAGATCAAACACCATTCAAATGGTGTTTCATTTGTTTTTTAAAATGGTTGTATATAGCTTGAACATAATGATGGATCTATAAAGGCACTCCTTCCTAGGATCCCATACTTTCGGCTGCATTCATCTACTCTGATTACTCCATCCATTCTCCCTATAGACATTAGGACTAAATGTGTGAAGAACATATGTGGCAATGAACGAGATAATGGAATGAACAGACAGTTCTCAAAAGATGAAGTTCCCATGGCCCAAAACATGAAAAATGTCCAACATCCTTAGAGATCCTGAAATGCAAATTATAAAACATTGCAATTCCATCCCATCCAGTCATAATGGCAGTCATTGAGAAACCTCAGCAAAGCACGTCAGAGTGTGTCATGTAGACAACAAATTTCTGAGTAGAACCCCAGTAACACAGGAAAAAGCCTTTCAGGAACTGAAAAATGGCATTTCAAGAAATTAGAAAGCATTGTGCAGCAAAAGAAACAGATGGGAGAGATCCTTCTCAGTTATATTCATATAAGGGGTTAATATCTTGAATATATAAAGAATTGCAAGCTTAAACACCAGAAGAAAGTCAGTAAATGGACTAATGATCTGAACAGGCAGTTCTCAAATGAAGAAATACAAATGGTAAATAAATATTTTCCAAAATATTCAACATCTTTAGCCATCAGATAAATACAAATTAAAACTACCTTGATAGTCCATCTCATCCAAGTCAGAATGCCCACCCTTAAGGAAACAAATGACAATAAATAATGGCGAAGATCTGGGAAAAGAGGAACCTTATATCACTGTTAGTGAGAATTTAAACCGGTGTAGCCACTATGGAAATCAACATAGAGGCTTCAACAAAACTAGGAACAGACCTTATGTGTGATTCAGCTATCGTGCTACAGTCGTGTTTCCAGAGCAGCCTGTGTCCCGCTACCAAAGCGCTTGAGCATCCACGTTTGTCAGTGGCATTTTCAGAGAAGCAAGGAAACTGAACCAGCCTCCACACCCATCAGCTGGTGAACGGATGATGAAAATGTGGTGCATACATACTATGGAATTTTACTAAGCCTTAAAGGAAAGATTAATTTATGAAAATTGGAAGGAAATGGATGGAACTGAAAACATTGTATTAAGTGAGGCAACTCAGGGTCAGAAAGACAAGTACAACAGGTATGCTGTCATATGCTGATCCTAGCCTCTAACTATGAAATGTGTATCCAAATGAAAGTAAATGTGAGTATAGGCCACCAAACAAGGAAGGACTGGAACGAAAGAGGCATTAATGGAGCGGAGGGAAAAAGCAGTCGAGCAAGTGAAGCCTAGAGGGTTAGACCGGGCAAGGGGAAATCGACCAACATAAAACACACATGAAAACCCATGTAGAAGGATGGGCATGACGACGCACTCCTTTGATCCCAGTACTCAGGAGGCAGAGGCAGGTGGATCTCCGTGAGTTCAAGGCCAGCCTGATCATTGTAGCATGTTCCAGGACAGCCAGGGTTGCTGCGTGAGAAGACCCTGTCTCAAAACAAACAAAAAAGTGGAAACCTATGACTTTGTTAATGAATTCAAGCAATTTTAAAAAGAAAAAAAATGACAAAGGATGGTGTAAAGAGATTTGTATTCCCAGTGGTGGCAGAAATACAGACTTGTCCAGGCATTTGGAAACCAAAATAGAGGATGCTCAAAAACCTGAAAGAGAACTATCAAATGATACATTTTGAAAACTAGAAACATTGAAAGTATCTTTGAATTTAAGAATCTTCTCTCCCTCCTGCCACCTCCCTGTACTCATTATCAACTGTAATTTCTCTCCCAAGATACTAAATCTAGTCTTATTATTATTTAAAATTCAAAATGACCTGAATTATACCACTAAATCCCTAGCACTGAATTAATCCTGATGAAAATTCAGATAAATCAAGTCACCAAGATCAAAATACTGCACTGTGTCAGACTTAGCAAAATAGTAAAATATTCCACCCTGAAGTGTAAAGCAGGCATGTCAAAATGTGACCTAGAAAAGTGTGGGGGAGTGACAGAAACCGGGAATGCAAAGTGGGTAACAGAGCAGCTGTTAGGAAAAGCCGTGCTAGGGAAAGATGACTTTCAAGGTTTGTATCTGATTGGATAGATTTCCGTGCCCAGGAACCATCACAGAACACTGTGGGAGTTTCAAGAAAGGCTGTGGCAGAGGACCATGGGAAAACCAGGAAACAGCAGTCTAAAACTTTGTAAAGATAGGTTGACACTGGTAAGAATTGAAAATCAGTTACATTTTGTGCTCTGTCCTCTCTCTGTCCTCTCAAACCCACCAACACTGTAAACTTCTAGCCTTTTCCCTGTCCTCTCTCTGTCCTCTCAAACCCACCAACACTGTGTAAACTTGTAGCCTTTTCCCTGTCCTCTCTCTGTCCTCTCAAACCCACCAACACTGTGTAAACTTGTAGCCTTTTCCCTGTCCTCTCTCTGTCCTCTCAAACCCACCAACACTGTGTAAACTTGTAGCCTTTTCCCTGTCCTGCCACACTAAGTCATCTTTTATTCTCCAACAATGATTTCACGGTAAAATCTATTCCCTTTTCACTGCTGTTTAGAAACTTTCATTGATTTCCTCTTGCCCAGAAAACGAGTGGCACAGCCGACCCCTTATTGCCCTATTACTTCTTGTCCTTGGGTCACTCTGGCCCCACACCCCAATGATATGAAACACTGCCTTCTGTTCCACTGAGAACACTGGGCTCCTTCACATATTCACGCGTTTTCATGTGTGGGTCCCTCTGTAGAGGGTCTTGCCTTCATCATTTCAATCAACTTTCCACTCCTCAGCCTTTGAGGAATTAACTGCCATCATCCTTAAAGATGAAGATGCAGGTCAAATATTCTACCGTAAGAAATGTTTTTTTCTTTTTTTAAAAAAAGATTTTATTTATTATTTTTATTTTACGTGTATAAGTGTATTGCCTGCATGTGCACAAGTGTACCTGTGTCGTGCAGTGCCTGTGGAGGTCAGAAGAAGGCATTAGATTCCCTGGAACTGGAGTTATGGATGGTTGCTAGCTGCCATGTGAGTGGTAGGAATCAAACCTGGGTCCCTTGCAAGAGCAGCCAGTGCTCTTAACCACTGAGCAATCTCTCCACCTCAGAAACCCTTTCTGTACATTTCCTCTAGGAAGTCTTCACCTGTTACTGCTTGATCTTACACTTTTCCCATGATAATGGAACATGTGCATTTTGCATATTTAAATGCCTGCCTCTTTAATGAAACATAAGTTTCACTACTTCAACTCCTTCGGATTAGAAATAAGTTAGGTAACAGGCTAGCTTTCTGCCAACATGCATCTTTGTACCTATCAATGAATACAGGTTACCATATGAGACTTTACCATACTCAACTCCTCTTTCTCCATCATTAGGCTAAATTATAGGACACTGTTTATTATACATTCTGAACTTGTAAAGAGATGCTATTCTAGAGCTCAATCACACATGACAGAAGGGAGAATATATAATTTCATTACTCGGGTTCAGCAGTTATCAGCTAAACAGCTAATGGTGAGCCTGATTCTTTATATCTATGTGTAGTTCCAGTCTCCTCTCCCCATTCTAAATATTTTAATGCAAATCTCACACATAACATTTCATTTCAAATATCATGTATGTTTCTAAATGACAAGCAAACTTTTATAAAATATACTGATAATTTTATTTATAGTTTAAATATAAATTTAATTTATATTTTAAACAGCTTTTAAAAATAGATGCCTAGTAAAGTCTATATATTGTAATTGGCTGATAGGTTTCATTTACTCAAGGATGGTGGGCCTTGGTTGGTGTCAATTTTGCCCTGCTGGGATATAGTGGAAAAGTTTGGGGACATTTTTGTGTCTTACAGACAAGGATGCTTTCCTAGTTTCAAAATATAAATTTAATTTATATTTTAAACAGCTTTTAAAAATAGATGCCTAGTAAAGTCTATATATTGTAATTGGCTGATAGGTTTCATTTACTCAAGGATGGTGGGCCTTGGTTGGTGTCAATTTTGCCCTGCTGGGATATAGTGGAAAAGTTTGGGGACATTTTTGTGTCTTACAGACAAGGATGCTTTCCTAGTTTCAGCTCTGTTTGATAAGATGTCCTGACAGCAAGCAACTTGGGAAGGGAGGATTTATTTTAGCTCAGAATTCCAAGTTACAGTCCACCATTGTGGAAATTCAACATGACAGGAACTGGAAGCAACTAGTCACATCACGTCCACATTTAAAAGCAGAGAGACAGGAAGGCATGCATGCTCACTTCTCAGCTCACTTTTACTACTACATGACCCAGAGAAGGGTGCTTTCCAAAGTGAGGTGAGCTGGGTCTTGCCACATCAATTAAAATAATCAAGGAAGTACCCCACAGACATGCCCACAGGCCAGTCTGATCTAGAGAATCATTTGAATCAAAGTGTTGATAGGAGAGAGTGAGAAACCATCTTATGTAGTCATTGCCTCTCACAATTTCCCCTAGTTTTCACTTTTTCTGCTCTAATTGTAGAATTCACTGACTCATTTGCTGCACATCCTTTTGTTAGCTAGGATATGTGGCTGTATCATTTAATAATTATGTCCTCTGTGTTCTCTAGCACCCAGATCTAGGAGTCTCATGAGTATACCATTCACAATTTTAGAAAAGACTCTTTATGATGTTCCACAGTGTCATCATCTTGTGCCAGGATGTATACAGTGTTTCAATATCTCTAATTCCACTGGTGACCCAGGTCTTTATGTATCTACTGATTATGGATTGAAAAACGGCGATACGGCATTTTGATAATATCTCCATTTATTGCAGACATCATTACTGCCTGACACTAGTTTAACATACGAACTGCAATGTGCTAAACACACTCATTCCATATTTCCTTTCAGAAACATCCTATATCACCTGGATGAGAAGACAAACCAGTTTTCAATCCTCAAGGAGGCTTGGGAGCATTGCAAACTGCTGGCATCAAATGAAACGCTCCAAGAGGCCCTGTCCAACGTGCTGAACAGCATTAATTCAGCTCAGGTTTACTTCAAAGCAGGACTGGATGTGTTCGAAAGTGTCTTGGTTGGAGAGAATTGAGAAAACACTCAGCATTTTTAAAAGTGTGTTTACAATTGTACAAGCTAAAGCTCTAATCTGACCAGGTTTTTGACAATGAAGACTTCCCCCCACCCCATGGCTTTTTGACAAGTGTAAAACTATTATACAGTGTGTTTTTAAATGTACATAGGAGAAAGCATTTTGCACATTTGATATTTTTCTTTATCTACATTGATGAATATATGAAGCAAGCTATGGGAATAACATGTGAGATTTATCTATTAAAGAGAAGTCTCCTGTATTTTTATATGTAAATCACTTAAAGAGAAAACTTCAGGAAATTCTGGTGTCTTTGCCACTGTGGACAGAACATGGAGGATGCAGTGAGTGTGTTCCTGCACTAGATATGGAGCATTGAAAAGGGTCCAGAGAACTTTAGCAGGTCAATATGAAGAAGTCAATATATTCCAAATGTGGCCTGAAACCACTTCGAATGTTTCTATTTTCTGAAATGAAGTTTCTCATTTTACCACAACTAGATGTAGTAATACACTGGTTATGAAATTGTATTTTTGAAGTATTAATGAAAAAAAGAGCCATAAACATTCCAAGGTGGGGGGTTGCTCAAGGAGCTACACAGAGCAATTTAAATGCAAATTATTTTCCTAACAACTTCTAGAGCTTTGAAAACCCTAATTTTCCTCAGTTGAGTCTGTGAGGCTTTCAGAAGTGATGTGTGCCTTGTGAGGAAGAACGCATTTCTTACTTATTTTTCTGTGTTTCTGGTGGTATCACTAAAAGAGGCCACTCAAAAGGAAAGCATCTCACATGACCATCTCTCCCTGCATCTCCCCTACAACCCCTTGCTGTAAAGCAGCCTTCATTTTTTATTATATAATTTTGCTGAAAAAATGGTCAACTTGTCATTAAAACTGAAAATGTCATCAAAGGTGTCAAAGTATTTCGAAGCTATTGACAAACTTACAATGAAAGTAATACTTGTTTTTATCGATGAAAGTCTTTAAATCTATGAAGAAAATATATTTTTCCTTTTTCCATCCTTCATGGCGCCTAATAAGATGAAAACAGAGATTATCCATGGTTCTGATGCTGTTAGACAACACGCACCCTTTAAGTTCCCCCATTGTTCCTCCTGTGGGGGATGCTTTTCCTAATTCTGGCATTGTTAGCCAATAATTCTCACATCCACATTCCTCCCAAACTCCAAAATTCTGCCTTGTAGGAGACAGGTTAAACTTTCAGCTTACCTTTTAAAGTCGATTTGTAAAAGTGTTTCTCTGGTATTTCATGATGCAGATCCTCTCAGGAAATAAAACCCTCAGAATCTTTCTTACAACATTTCCCTATGAAATTCATCATGAAACACACTCCTCCGTTATACGTGGGCAGAGAAACACTGGGCAAAGCCCCTGTATGTCTAATTCTTTACTTCTTATGGATGAACATAAACTTATTTAGAAAGAAAGCTAAGCTTGAGAGAAAAGAATTAATCAGTATTGACTAAGTGATTTGTAAGGGTCAGCCTTTCCTACCTTGAGTAATATGTGTGTACTCAGAGCAGAGAACTGAGACAATTAGCTGGATAATTCAAGCAGAAACACATTTCCTCTGAAGTGCCTTTGTACATATTTTTCACATGAGAAATGGAACTACTGCATAACTTTTTTGTAGACCAGTGTGCTTGAGACATTCCTGGCATGTTGATGGATGTTTGTGTGAAAGCTCTCAGATGCTCTGAGTCCTGCATGATTGGCATCAGTGCACCTTCACACTCTGAAAGGATGGACAGAGAGAAGACTGTCAGAATCTTCACACAGATATGCAAGGTCCCCATGGTAAAATCCTTTTGTGAAAGAATGCTTAGCATTTAAACCAAGGTCATTCAGTACTTTGCAGAGAGCTGAATTTAAAACAGACTGATAAGCCACCATTCATTTGGTAGATTTTTAAACTTCTTTTTATTGAATTTGTGTGTTTCATACTGAACATCTCAATCAGTCTTAATCATCTTTATACCCCATTCCCCACTAGCATACTAGCATACTCCCATAGACTCCCCCCCATCCCCACCACCACTGGAATTCATACATTCTGTCATTTGTGTTAAGGCCTAGTGTGTCAAGTTAGTGGCTCCAGATGCAGTAGGTGCAAGTTCACCTACTGAGGTCTAGTTGGTTTATCTAAGAGTACCTTGCTTTGGGGAGATTTTAGAACAAGATCCTAAATAACTTCACTATAATACCTCAAAATAGCATTGAGAACAAAGAATAACTTTCTGGAATTATTGTTTAAAGACAATGCATATAGGTAAATCATGTTATATAGCTAAAAATATCATCCTAAATTTCTTCTAAATTGAGTTGATTTTTGGAAAATTACAATTAACTATTGAGTAATATATTTTTATTAGTTTCATTTAAGAGATCATGTGAATAAATGAAATATTTAAAACAGATGTCCAAGAATTCTATAGCTGCTCTGCAACTTGACCCATACCAAGATCTTAACACATAATATTAGAACTATTGTGATCACCTCAAGGCTCTTATGCATCCAAGTACATAAAAGTTCTGAGGAAGCTCATAGCAAGTGTTATATGAATCAGTAGATCTTTCAAATTGGAACTGAGACACCTAATTATATATAGACTTCTAAAACTACTTCCCAGATAGAATTGTGGTAGAAGGTAACAAAGCATAGACAATTCATTTCTCAAGAAAAGCTGGACAGTATATGTCTGGGAAATTTCTGTCCAGGGAGAATACCTAGGGCTATTGATCTTCATGAAAAAGCACAGAGCATAGAGAAAGAAGGGAGCCGAAGAGACATCCTAGGCTAAGATCTAAAATCTTGCTATCATCATCATCATCAACAACAACAATTACCATCCTGACCAGATACAGTCTATCTTCTAACTGAAGATAGAGTTATGGAGAGACCTGGACATGATCCTGCATTCAATGAGTGGCTTAAGCCCTGCTGGGCTTCAAACTTCTGTGCATTCTTGTTTGGTGTGGCTGCTTGCTCTCCATTAGACAGAGCTGTAGATGATTCACACCCTGAATCCTTTGCAACCCAGCCTTTCTACCAGATGCTGCATGGCCAGAGCATACTGCTTTCAATCCCAGGCTAGCCCACCCTCTGCTTATACCCACCAAAACAATCCCAGGGATCCAGGCAAAGGGCACAAATGCAGGGACAGTATCTCCGTATAATGCCATAAATCAGGAAGGAGGGCACAGTGCAAAATGTTGTTAGAAAGGGACCTAGCTCTTAGCATGGTAGAAAATCAACCTCTAAATTGGTGTTCCTTGAAGTCTAAAGAGAGAAACTTCAGATGATTTACTCTCAGATTCCCCGATGATGTAAAGTAGAATAATTTCTAAACTATATTAATCCTTTATCCTGATAAAATCAATTGAAATGTTATTTAAGTAAATAAAAAAGCCACAGTAATAAAAGAGCCCAAAGATTTAAAAAATTCCTCCAGTAAAAACTAAACCACAACAAAATAAATACAAAAAAATAACCTATTATCCATAAAAAAGGAAGTTCAATGTAGCCAACACCTGTGCCTGCTGTGTTGGACTGATCTAAACACAGTTCACTATTTCTAGTTGAAGCTCTAAAATAATTCATTTACTAAGAAGCTAGGATTAACATAATGTGTCAAAATCATCAAGTTGATAGAAAGTAGTGGGATGGCTTTTTTATCTGCTATGCCATGTAATGTCAGTCCTGTGTCTTTTATATTGAGTGTGGCAGAGAACAGGAGTCCTCTGCCATGAGAACATGATATGATACAACATTTCAACATGCGCTGTCCAAAACTGATCACTCACAGCGAGGCGAATAGATCCAGCCAGGTGATGCTTCACTATGATTTCAAAACAGCCTAAGGAAACAGAACACACACTCCCCAGTGGCAGTAGCCCACCTCGATAATGTCCTGCCTATGTAATTTGAAGACATCTAAAAAGCATTAAAACTAAGCACATTATTTTAGACCACTGGGATGACTAGACTTAAAATTGTGAAATTGAAACAGAGTCCAGGAATACCATCCTTTCCTCTTCTACATACATACACACGTCACTGAGGGGAGATTTGCCTACAGGAAAGACAGTGTCACAAAAATGTGTATTTGCTTCCAGCTTATTCATGATGAATCAGCATCTTTGCCTCAAATAAAAAGATATGTCATTTGCATGGCAAATTGGGAGATTTTTCCTGTAATGTTCTTGTGAGCTGTTCTGGGGTTTATGTAATTAATTACTGAATAAGCTTTCTTTGAGGATCATTCTCTGGCATCTCTTTGGCTAAATGTGTTGTTGAAGCGTGCCTTAGTCACACAGCTCCTTAATCCAAAGGGATCATTTTAAACTGCCAATCCATGAGCTGCATGGAAAGGAAATGGTCTCCCATATTTCAGTAAATTCCTCTCCAACACATGTTCCATACAGGACCATGAGCACAACCTGAGGATGGGAGACAAACCAGTGACATTAGCCCAGCGACACTCGTGAACGTGGATCTCTTGCAAGAGTTTACATTGCTAGCTTTAAAAACCTTCCCTAGAATTACCATTCTGAAAGATCATAAAAGCCTTCAAAGAATTTTAAGCACCCTGCTAAGTGTAGACACTTTTCAGTTTAGTGGGTTTGTTTCGTGCAATTCTGAATTTTAAGTGAGATAAGTCTGAAGAAGAAAAATAGCAAAAATGTTTTAGAGTGTGCCCTGTACTGGTCGTTGCCTTGACCACTTAGATTTATGTTTCCTTTCTAGAATCATAGTAGAAATGAGACTAGATGTTTTCTTCCTGGAGATAGACCTGGAGTTTATGTTCTATCTGTTGCAAGATAAATGTGTTTGTTAATCAGCCAGAGTTTTCATTTCAAAATAACTTTCCGTTATTCAACACAGATGTCACTGGAAGTGCCTTTAACAAGAGAGAGAAGAATTGTGATCCCAGGCTTAATGTGAGGGAACATATTCCTTAAAGGCATTTATAATCTGTGTTCAAACTAGATCATAATTTTTAAAAGTAAAGAATAGACCGAGGCAGATTCAAGAGTTTGCATTACTTCTGCTTGTATTATTTTGCATTTGTTTATACAGTTACATAGCTTGCCATAAACAAAATGGTAATTTTGAACTATTCAGTCAGTATCCACTCACCAAAACCAAAGAAGTGTGTTACTACTCATTTCTCGTGCAAGGATTCTCTTAAGAATTTGACCAGACACAGTTGATTCTTTGTCTACCTCCAAGAAGAGCTTTAACGACTGTAGACAGAGCCTCACAGTGCTCAGTTCCTTTGATGGCTTAAGCCAATAAGCCTCGAGGCAGATTTTCTCAGAAGAAAACAGGCTAGTTAACATCCACCACTTCAGTCAGCAAAAGGCCACACAGGTGCCGATTTCACACCGTCTCTCATGTGCTCTAGTCATATAAGCTCGAGAGATTAATATGCAATCATTACGGTGAATGATTGTGCTGCACTGAAGTTCATGTTCGTCTTTCGTTCTGATTAAAGTGCAATTTTGGGATATGACTAGACCTTCCCTGAAGAACTGGAGTTAGAGTCCCGTTTTTAATGAACTACATATATTTTCAATCAAAATGTGTAATTGTTTAATTATCTAGGCTGATCAGTATTTATAACTCTGAAGCTTCTTCAAGGTATCCGTACTCAATATGAGGCCATGATGAAGACTATCACTTATGTGTCATATTTTGGATTTCTTAATCATTTTAAATCATATCTTCACTGCATAAAATAGTTTGATTAATATTAATTATTTTATTTGGTTTTATATTTAATGCTTCTGAATAGACCTTACTCAGAAGTTAGAGCAAAATGCTAGCACTCTATAAAGATGATTTTCCCTGTCTGTTCAGAGAAAAATAAATCTAAGTAAATGAGATATTTCAATACACCCATTGCAACTTCTCCATAAGAATTGATGGTTAAGTGTAGCTCATATAATTATATTCCAAAGATGTCATAAATAATTCCATTTAGCAGCTAAGCTCAACTCTATTAGGTGATTTAGTGTGTACACTGCAAACAGAAAGTTTTAGTGGCAGACATATCCAATGTATTTTAATTGCTACTTGGGAAAAACAAGAAAGAATCATATATAAAAAAAGAAAAGCTTCCCAGGGCACTTTGCAATTCTAATTCGATCCTATAGATACTCAGATAATCAATATAGGATTTTGATAATAGTTTTATATGTGTTTCCAATGTTCGTATATGTCAGGTGTTTAATAATTTTAATCACTTAATGAAGCTGCATTGAAATAGATAGATTTTCATTTTGGGGTATAATATTAAAAGATGTAACCCTAAAATGAAGACTGAAAATGAACAGTGAGATTGACAGAGTTACTTGGGGCAAAATTTGAAGGATAATTTAATTTTGCTTTAATTAAAAGGAAATAACTCTTCAAAAGGTATCCTCATTACTAAATTGTGTGGAACTGTCTTAGTCTTACTTTTCTTCCAGATAATCTGATTACTGTGTGTGGTTGATGCACTTTTTATTGCGGAGAAATGGCCCTTGCCTTTGTGGTCTTACTGAGTTTTAATGACCTTAATTTAGGGGCATCTTTAATTTTTGAATTACTCTATATAGTCAAATGTCTAATTTGTATGTGTGATTGCCCATCAAAAGTTGAATGTTTCTGCATGTTTTCCAAGTGTAATCTCAACAAATTGTTTAACGTTTTGTATTACTTGAGAGGATTCAATGTGCAGCTTTAGGTGTGATTTTGAATGATAAAATGGATTGAAATACCACATCTACTAAAGATGGATGAATACTTCATATTTTGCTTGCTTAAATATGCTTAAATATGTGCATATAACTAAAAGCACAGTACTGAGAAATAAAGGCATCTTTTCAAACTATGTTCTGATTCGTAAGTGCTATGATATGTATAGTGAAATTGCCATTTTTAAAGCATCAATTTAAAATAAACCAAATGCAGGTGAAAAATGGCTGCTTCTGTGTGTTTTTATTACAAGATATAAAGTATTTTAAGTATGCAGAGTGAATTAGTTATTCCCAAGTTTTCCTAATGGGTTATCTGTGCATAGTGAAGATTATGCTGAAATGGCTGTCCCCTTGCCCTTTGTTTAGGGGATCCTGTCTAGTGTTTTATCATCTATTTTCTTTGCTATCAATTCTTTTCTTGAACCCTCAGTTCTCACTTGAGCCATTTAGATTTCCAATTTGGGATGAGTTCAAATGCCAAGTAACATCATCTGTACCAATTCTGTACAGACAAGTTTTGTTTCCTCAAACAATACTTTGCAAAGTATTGTAAGTCATTCACCACCCAGTGAAGGTTCTCTTCACACCAGACAGCAGGTTCTTCATTTTGCCTTTTATTCAGAAAACATATACCAAGTGCCTGTTTTAAACTGATATTGTACTGGGTGCTAGAGGTACAAGGACATCTAGCACAGTGTGACCTTCAAGCCATTTGCAGTCAAAAAAGGATAGAACCCATATCAATTACAGTTTTCAGAATAAGCATGAACTGGGCATCACATATATAGGTGAACGGTAACAGGTGCTCAGGCAATGTGGCTGATTCAGGGGGCTTCTTTCCTGTTTTGTTTTTAAAGAAAACTCTCCCTAAGAGTCTACTACATAATAGCTATTGCTTTCTTGGTGCTCATCACTGTATCAAACTCAGGTGGCTTAGGATGACGTTAATGGTTATCTTTTAATCCTTAAGAGTAGCTTCTGAAAAGAGGTTGCCATTCTGTCCCAACTGACAGATGAAAAATAGGAGGGTTAGACACATTAATAACAATTCACTGTGAAATATATACAAACCAATATCTGAAAACATTAAAAACAGCTCTGGGTTTACATTCTAATCAGAAAATAAAATTTAAACAATATACAAAGCTATATATTTATATTTGTGTAAGAGGGAGACATCTTCCAGGAAATATCTTGAAATATTTGGTGAAATTATATTACTGTGTGACTGTCAGAGAGTTTATTACAGAGTTAATATGTCCACTACTTCAAAAGATAACATAGTCATTTGGGGAGACCGTTGTCTGTGTGATCTGTCACTGACTGAAGCATTGTTTTCCAGTACAATCTGCCTTTGTTTTGTACCCTATAGATGTATCCAAAATATTGAAATGCTCACAAACAAAATAAACATGGCAGTTTCAGAGAAACCAAGAGTAGAGTCAAAGTGAAGAACAATGAAACAGAGGTAGCAGCCAAATCCTTAGACTGTTTTTGTGCATTCTTCTCTGTCAATCTGAGTGGAGAATGCATGTGTGCTTGTATTGTAATTATTTCTAGTCTTCTTCAAATGCAAATTAAATCTTGAAGGCAATGAAAAAAACCTTGGTATGATGCACTGACTCTGAACTACACACGTAGAACCAGGCAGATACTCTACTTTTCTAATTGAGGTTTATAAGCTTAGGCCCTTCCTTTCCCCTTTATCAACTACACCAGCATCACGATGGCAGTTTCTAGAAGGTATTCTTTGACAAACTAAATGCTCAGAGAGAAAACTTCATTATAATTATACTTCTTGACTAATTCGTTCCTCTTTAAGTGTTCCTAACTCATTAAATACAATAGATTCTTAATCCAAAAATAATTGTCTTTGACCGTATTGTTTGCCTCCCTCCCTCCATGTAACCCATCATAAGTCAGCTTTGCTGCAGTGTATTGTCTACCTCTGTGTGTTTCTACATCTCGTGCCCTCCTGTTTGGCATCACCATCCTCCTTCCTCTGCAATGCACCAGTCAACAAAAGGTGCTGTAAGAAGAGTTTCAAATGGGCAAATGATTTCAAAATTGTTTAAAAGGCAATGGTAGCAGAGAAGTCAAAGACTTATTTTTCAATAAGCAATTCAAAAACCTGTTATTGACCTTGGGACCAGGGAAGGAAGTGTAGAGGAGGGAATCTATGATGACCCAGGAGTCTGTATCCAACTCAGTCTCTGGGGGACCACTGTACACAGTGTCTGGACTCCCTTATCAGAGCAGAAGTGTGCAAAGCCGCCTCATTTTTGACTTCTTCTATAAGCACTGTCATTCACAGATCTGTCCGAAATCCAGCTGGCATGAGGGTCTGTAAAACTTGTGCCTGATCCTGAGACAATGGGGTTTCTTGGTCAACCTAACTGGATTATAAATGTCAAGAGAATCATTGATGAGATATGACTTTTGGTGGAATTGTGAGGGTGCTTCCCAGGAGGATAAACTGGGAGAGAAATCCGCCTGAATGTTTGCTATTGGCAACACCCAGGACTGAGCCATTTCCTGTTATGTTTGCTAACAGCCCACAAAAGATGGGAGGTGTGCTAAGCTCTGAGTCTCTCTGCTGATGGACCCTTTGTATGGAGCCTCTTCTTAAGCTTTTCTTTTCACCATCACTATGAGACTTGGGAGGATGGAGTGACTGGAACAAAAACACGGAGCTTACCTATTATTATGTATGAATGATGTATGCCAGTAAAAATGTTTATGACTCTAGCTGGGTTGACCAGGCTCCAGTGAACAGATCCACATTTGGAGACACAACTTTGACTATATAGGCTTTTATGTATACAAGATAACATACATATAAAATATAATAACATATATGTTAGATGGGTAGATAGGTTCAGTAAATTATTTAAAATGCAAAAAAAGCTACTAGGAATGATTCAGGTGGCATACCATCTCTACTTGGAGAAGGGAAGAGATAGAGTGGGATTTACCTTTGTGTGACCAGGGGAAGCTCCACCAGGCACTGGCCAGTGTCTCAGTATCATCACTGCTGCTCTTCCAGGAAGAGGTGCTGAGACGAACAGGGCAAGGGAGCAGTTTCTACGGCTTTCTTCGTCCTCAGTACCAGATGTTCCTGCACATTCTCCTTGGAAATCACTACACTGTCTACTTTAAGAAGCACATTTCTGCTCATCCCTGGAGAAAACTGATTGCCTATAGCACTTCATCTCGAAGTGGGACCCCATGAAACTTCCCCCACCAACCTTGGCATGTCAGCTGGTTCTGTCATTAAGCAGATCTTGTTAGACTGCCAAGCTGTGGAGGTTTCCTGGGTGCAGTTTCCCTGTCATGTCTAGAATGAGCAGTGGCAGGGGTCTTGTCCTTCTGGCTCTCACATTTTTTTTGCCTCCCTTTCCTCAATGTTCCCTGAGCCTGAGGTGTAGAGGTGCCTCTAATTTCAAGTGGGCAGCCCTTAACACAGGTACACAGTAGCATGACCAAATGGACTCAGTCCATTATATACATATATGTATGTATTTATCTATAAAGATATGCAAAGGTTTGTATGTATGTATAACAATAATAATGAAAATGATAAGAAATTGCAAGATTGCAGACAAGGAAAGAGTTGGAGGGAGACCAGTAGGGATAGAAATAATGCAGACTATACTCATATTCACAAAAAACACTTAGAGTCAACTAATTCAATAAGTGAATGTCAGCTAAAAAAGGAAATGTGGGGGTTATGCATCATGGAATACTTATTAATCCCAACACTCTGGAGACTGAGGCAGGGCATTACAAAATTGAGGCCAGCTACACAGTGAGACCACGTTTCAAAAGCAAAGACAAGAAACATAAAATGCAATTGTCCAGATACATTGTGCCAATTCTATTCATGTCTATGAATTTTCACCGTCTTCTGTTTTTATTGCTTCAAATGGGTCTTTGGAAGGAGAAAGCAATGCTATATTTATTCTCCTATCATTAAATGAAAGATCACTATGAATTGAATATTTGCATAGTTGTTTCAATTCCATTATGAAGAAAATACCGATTTCCACCAAAACTGACAGCAATAAAAATGCTTCTGTTCCTCATATTTGGTGAGTGAAAAATTGTGGATGGCAAAGGATCTTGTGGGGATTCCTGAAATGTAAAAAGTGTTTAAGATTTGAAAACATCATAAATAAGTGACTCTAAACAGTGAAGACTATTTTTACACAATTTGGGGAGATACAATCTACAACAACATTAAAATCTAACACAAATATAAAGGAAATGAACTTCAGCTATTTTTCAATTTTGTAAAGCAAAGTTTTATGTATATATTATACAATATATAAATATATATATATAATATGCATTGTCAACTCTTTCAATGTGAATTTTTTTGTATCATCAACAACAAAAGAATCAGGAGATGTTTTGATCAGAGTGAAAATAAGCATAAAATACATTTGCTCTCTTTTCTCGGCCGTCACAAGCTAAACCTGTTGTGTACTGTGCTATTGGCTTGTGTTGGAAGTGTCATCCTTACTTTCCTGGGTTACCTGAGGGCATTTTGACTAGAGATCACTGATGAAATTTTATCCAGAATCTTTAGACTCTAGGGCTCCCTGGTGCATGAAATGTAACTGCAACACTTTCTAAGACTTCTCTGAAGTTCCATGCACTCGAAACTTTCTTCTGAGCATACCACATCCTCTTAAGTAATGAAGAGAAGTTTTAGAAATAGAAAATCAAAAACAACCACCTAGGTAGATACTCTCTATTAAATCATCTTATTTAATTTTTAGCAAAGCAGTGATCTTTCACTGACGTACTTTTAAGTATATGTGTGTGTTTATGTTTTGAATGTGTGTCTGTGTGTTTAGGTGCACACAAGAGTGCTGATGTGCACGAATTCTCCCATCTCACTGAGGAACAGGCCTCAGGAGAACAAACTCCCTAACTTGCTGAATCTCTAGGATCTAGAATGACAGTCGATGCTTAATTAATACATGCTAAATGAGTAGACAATTAAAGTAAGTAGGTTTATATTTTCTCTAGAGAATTACCTAAAGTGATGAAATGTAAATATTCCATTTAGCCAATAGAATATTTGGGTTGTTTATCAAACAGCAACTGAAAATACTCATTCTTTGAG